ACCACTGACTTAGAGGGACGCAAGCTGGCACTGGGCGCAAGCCAAGCCTACCTGCTCCCTGCCACTCCCAGAGGGGAGACAAGGGGAGGGGGAGGGAGGAAGGGGGGGAGGGAGGAGCGGCGCCGTGGGCGGAGCCGCCGGGCTCCCAATCCCCTTCTTCCCCCGCCCCTTCCCCGCCCCCCAATCCCTTTCCACCAACCGCGCGCTGTGGTGGGCGGTGCCGGTCACCAGCCTTCTGGTGCAATTCATCCCCCCCTCCCCGGTTTTTTTCTCCCCAGTCTCTCTCTTTTTTCCCCTTTCCTTTTTTTTGTGAATGAAAGGAGGAGGTCGCGAGCGGTCCCGGGGACTGCAAACGCGCTAGGCGTCCAGGCGGCCGCGCCTTCGGAGCGGGCCGGGCGGAGCAGCGGCGGCCTCGCCCCATCTCCGCTCCCGCGCGCAGCCCGAGGACCGGCGGCGGCGGCGCGGCCCGGCAGCCCGAGGTCGGAGCGGCCGCGCGCAGCCCCGGCCCCGGCGCGCCTCCATGACATTGGGCGCCCGGGGCGCGGGGAGATGCTGATCCGGAAGAGGCGATGGCTGCAGCGGCGCGCGCGGCCGCTCCCGGCCCGCCGTCCTGCCCCGGCTGCTCGGGCGGAGTTTCTGATCTGACGCGCCAGGGCCCGGGCCTGTAGCAGGAGCAGCAGCAGCAGCAGCAGCAGCAGCAGCAGCAGCTCGGCGGCGCCGGCATCGTCCTAACTTGCACGCGCGGAGTGACCCCAGACATTTCCCTAAAATGAGCGTGCTTAGCAGGAAGAGATGTGTTCCTTACACTAGAAATCACCCCGTCACATGTAGTGGTGTAAGTAAATGATTAATTTCTCTTATGGCCGCGTTGCAAACAGCTTCTGGGAACGCGCCGCTGCGCCCGCCGGGCCCTGTCTGCGCCCCTCCTGACTTCCCCTCGGCTCCCACTCCTCCCTGGGCGCTAGTTGCAGCTGCTGGGGTCTCAGGTGGCAGGGGACTTACCTTTTCCGGGTTTCTCTAGGGAAACGAAGATGACTTGATTGCCTTGGTGTGTGGAGGCCCTCTCCCCTCTTTAAATTTATTTTATTTTTATTTTGTGTGTGTGTGTCAGGAAAAAAGGTCCAGAGTGGTGGAAATGTTTCCGTTAAAAACCAATGGAATTTGGGTGCTTTGCTTGTCGTTCCAGATATGTGTGTGTGTGTGTTTTTTCAACCCAACACATTGCAGTCTGTGCATCTGAGTTCTGGCAAACTGCTGGGAGAAACCTTCAGCACTGGTCGTCGGTGTCTGAGAAGGCTTAGGCTGTGTTAGGCTTGCATTTATGTTAATATGCTCATTCAAGATCCCTTTGGGCCTTGCTGACCACTGGATCTTCCAGGAGGCTCATCTCTCTATTTTCCTTCATGTTACAATGTCAGAGACTCTGGTCGGAGCCGCCTTTCATTTGAAGGCCACCCTCTCTGCTCATCTCTTCCCAATCCATCCCTCCCATCCATCCATCCATCCATCCATCCATCCATCCATCCTCTTTTATTTTTACCTTCATTTTTAAGATAGTCCTCCCTTACCCATTTTGTAAGATGCGAGGTGTGGGATATTGGTTGCTAGGAGACAAGCCAGGCTCCCAGGGAGATTCTGTAGTTTCCTTGACAACCAGACTAGGGCAGCCACAGATGAACAAGCCTCCTATCAGCTGTGGAAGGGGAAGGGGCCTTTTCTGTGTGTTTGTGGGGGTGAGGGGGTGGGATTGGGAGCCAGTGAGGGCTGTAGGTAATCTGAGTGCACCTTGCCTTTGGGTCTGCCCTGTGTACACAGAGCTGGAGAGCAGGGGGCAAGAGGCTGTTTCTGGAAAGGGATCACGGGACCGGGTGGGAGGGAGCCTCTAGGTGACTCTGGGATCACGGAGAGAGGAGTGAATTGTGTGTTGTGATGCCAGGCCGGGGTGGCATGGAAGCTGTCGTTCACGGAGGTTATTCAGGAGTCTCGGAAGGCATGGGGATGAGGCATTTGTGCAGAAAAGTCAAGCGTCATTGAAGGAGAGAGTGCCAGAAGGAAGTGGGAAGTTGAGAAGCTCATGGAGTGGGTTATATCACCACACATCATCAATGATACAGTAAAGTAGCAATATTTTAGAGCAAAAGTCACATTATCGCTGGTGGCGCGCTAGCTGCAGTGCAGTAGGATCTTTGTTTAAGGCAGGCCCGATGAAACTAAGAGCTCTGCTGGCTCAGTCGGGCCAGGCTGCATCTTAAAGAGCGATATAATTACACATATAGATATGTAATCTAGCATTATATAATCCCACATTACATAAGAAGGCAAAGACCTCCTTTCAGCCCAGCCTCTACTGGCACAAATTCACCAAGATCCAGGAGACTTTCTCCCAAAGCCCTCATACCCATTTTCCAGAAGGGCAGGCTGACACCCAGAGAAGTGAAGTGATTTGCCCTTTCCTGGATACGACAAAGAAGTTTACCAGTCAGGCCACTGGGACAGGGGTGGAGGGGGGTGAGAATGATGGAAATAGGGAGGAAGCGAAGGAGGAGCAGGGGAAGGATGGGGAGGGGCCGTCCAGTCCGAGCAGCAGCCATCAGGCCTGGTGTCTAAACTCACAGCACAGTGCGTGTCGCTCTCCTACTCGGATGGCTGTCCCCACGTAACCCCGTATGCATAAGGCAGTTTAAACTCAAGTGTTTCTGCCTCGCAATTCCCGTTCTGTACAGAGCACACTACTTTTCCATCACAAATGGTGAGGCTCTTCATGGTCGTGGCGGTCTGAAAAGGGAAACCAGGGCTTGAGGGATTGATAGAACGTTTGGACAGACAGCAGGAAGATGACCTGCGGGGATGGGAGCGGGTAGCCACAGCCTCAGTACCACCTCCTTAGGAAACCAGACCGCCTTGTCTATGCACTTGAGCATGAGCGCTTTATCATAAACTTGCTGATCTTGGACCAGCACTGCTCTGCTGTGCTGGCATCCTCCCTGCCATCAAGAGCTAAGAGCTGACCCTCCTTCTCCGTGCCTCCTCACAATCCCCCCCCCCGCGCCCCCCGCCCCCTCCCGCCTGCGCCAGAATCTAAATGTGAGAAAGAAGTTCTACTGGCTAGTATGTTTTTCTTTTTCTCCTACAGCTGTGTCTGTATTTGTATTTGGGGCTCTATCTGTTTTGTTCTTCAATTGATAAAACAGAAACCGCAACCCAGATGATTCCTCCCAGCGCCAACACACCCTCCCTGCAGCCTGCTTGAGTCCCGGAACTGTCAAACTAAGGTCCCTGGCCCTCAGCTCAGAAGGGAGAGCAGGGAGGAGGCAGCATGGTGGTTACAATAAAGGTTGCCCACGGGGACGGTGAGGGTGGGGTGGAGAAGGGAGAGGAATGATGCTGTTACCCTGACCCTGGGGAGGGACCTGCATGGAGACCCTTGCTGTTCCGGGTCCAGATCCTGTAAAATTCCAGGGAGGAGGCACTTGTCTCATTGAGAAGTCCTTGCTGCGCTTTCTGCTTAGGTTGCTGAGATGCTTCCACTTGCGCAAATCCCAGTTGCCATCGTTACTTGGGTATTTTGACTCCGCATGCCTGCATGCTGGCATCCAGTTACAGCCCGGCAGGAATGGCACTCCTGGGCGACGGCTGGTGGCCTGGCGCTCGGACTGGGTGGCTCAGCAGTGAGGGCACCTCGACAGCCTCCACACTCCTCTGAGCTCAGCCTTCCTGGGCCTCGGAAGGTTTCCTCCAAGCTGCCCCAGCCCCCAGCGACTTCATTCACACAGGGCACGTGAGCAGGGGCAGACCAATGACACTGGCCAAAGAAAGGCCTGATAATAACGCCCCGGCTTCTGAGAGGGCGGTGCCAGCAGGGAGGCTGCCAGCGAAAGCCCCCTCCAGCCCAGGGCCCCTTCTGGTGGCAACTTGTAAACACCGACATGACGTGTTGATTATAGAAGGTCCTCCTGCTTGTTAAGTTGAACCATCTCCTTCTGAGGGTGGACAAACCTCTCCCTCTCTGTCCTACACAGAAGGGAACTGAAGCAAGCATTTGCCCAGAAACTCAGGCCCCTTTCTGACCCTGGGCTCCCTCCCCGCAGCAGCCCCGTCACCCTTGCAGCTAATTTAGGGAGTCTCCTAAGAGTGTCAGGTGTCTGTTGGGGGGTGGTGGTCTCCTAGCCTGAGAATCTCTCTCCTTAAGAATGGGAGGTACAAAAGGGGGTACCTCCTTTCAGAGGCTGGCTGGAGGATGTTGTAGGGCAGGCCTGGATAGCGGATGATAAGGCCCACTGGCCGTGGAGTGTATCGTCATTGACCCATGGTTACCCATTACCTCCATGTCAAAACTGAGCCTGCCGCTGAGTGAGCCAGCCACACAGGCCACGTGACAGACCCACAGGAGGGATGGGAGGCCTGTGGGCTGCTCAGGTGCATCCAGAAGCCTCCCACCCAGACGGATTGGGGCGGAACTCTGGCACCTCCATAAAGGGAGCTGGGGGCTTGGAAATCCACGACCGGAAAAGGAGAGAGAAGAGGGTGGAGGCCAGGAGAGCTGCCTCCCAGCTCTGACAAGTCCATTAAATTTTAAAGTGGCCCTGCCCTTAGGCCTGCTGGGAAGGGGTGGGACCTGGCCCTGACTCCGCTTCTCTCAGCTGTTTGTTGCTCTGCTGGCGGAGGAGAGAGGTGATGAGTGAGCTTCCCGGGCAGGCTCCCCTCCCTCTGGGAGAGGGGACAGCTCCACCTGGGTTCTCTCCAGGCCTCCTCCATCCAGAAGCCCAGGTGGAGGATGGCGGCCACCAGAGGGAGACAGGTGGTTCATCCGGCAGCAAGGCTCCTCTCAGCCTGAGTGGGCTCTGCTGCCCAGAAAGCTGTCTACTCCTTCCTCCTCTCTGCTCGCCTGCTGGAAGAGGGGCGCCCCGGCCAGCCAAGGAGAGCTGCTGGCCCGGCCCCGTGGGGACTGGGTGTGCGAAGCCGTCTCGACCGCTCCTCTCCTCCCGCTCAGGTCCCAGTTAATGGATTCTGACATGGATTATGAAAGGCCAAACGTAGAGACCATCAAGTGCGTGGTGGTGGGGGACAACGCCGTGGGCAAGACCAGGCTAATCTGTGCCCGGGCCTGCAATGCCACCCTCACCCAGTACCAGCTGCTTGCCACCCATGTGCCCACGGTTTGGGCCATCGACCAGTATCGGGTGTGCCAGGAGGTAAGGCTGCAAGGCCGCTGGGCAGGGGTCCACACCAGGCCTCCGGGCTTCTGCCCAAGCCATTGCTTGGCATCTCCAACCCTGGCCGGTGCTGAGCTCACGGAAGCCCTGGGGGGTTAGGGTGGGGCAGCTGAAGAGGAAGGAGCCCTGGGGAGAGGGCTGGGGGAGCCTACCCCAGTGTGGGTGGTCCTCCACCATTTGCGGTTAGCATGGCTGAGCTGATGCTGGGGCACAGTGCCTTGTGCAATCCCAGCCCCAGTAATGGGGAGCCCCAGGGGATGGGGTGGGGTGGGGTTTGCAGCGATGAGAGCTGAGAGAAGGAAACTGCTGGCTGATACCAGAAGGTCAGAGGCTGGTAGACAGGTGACCTGCGGGTGACGCTGGGAACCCCCATGACCCTCTGCCCGCTTAGACCCTCTTTCCTCCTGGGCGGCATGGAGGGTGCCCCTGTTACTGAGTCTGTAGAGAAGGATAGAAAGGCTGTGTGAGGCACATGGGGCGGTGCTAACTCTGCCCTTCACCTCCCAGGCTGCCCAGGACCCCCCCGGGGTGAGCTGGGACCACCCTGAGCTGACATGTGGGCCCCAAGAACTCCTGCCCTTGACTCCCACCGCACTCTCCCTCCCCCACAGGTTCTGGAACGCTCCCGAGATGTGGTAGACGACGTCAGCGTCTCCCTGCGCCTCTGGGACACCTTTGGAGACCACCACAAAGACCGGCGCTTTGCTTATGGGAGGTAGGAAGCCTCTGCTGCCTGAGGGAGCCCAGGGTGGGCTTCCCTATCTCCCCCCAAAGCAGAGCCGCACTGAGAAAGTCAAACTGGGAGGAAGGAGTAGAGCGGACAGGCCTGGCGGGCCTCACGGGGAGCAGCGGGAGGTGTGAGGAGCGGGTTTGGAGTCAGGAGGCCTGGTTTTAGCCCCGGCCCTGCTGCCGACTAGCTCTGTGACTTTGGGCAATTAGGGGAGCTGTTCGGAGATGGTTTTTCTCAGTCTCTAGGTGGTAAAAAGAGAGGCAGGAGGTCAAAACAAAAGCTCCAAAACACTAAATTAGAGCTACATAAGTTAGAGGTACTATTATTAATACATTTTGGGTAAGATCATGTGCACAGGCCACATGACAGGAGGGACTGCGTGTCGGGCTGGGTGGGTATGCTGTTCTCCCTGGTTCCAGGGGCAGATACTCTGCTAGCTTTCTCTGCCACAAACCTCGCACTCCCACCCCCAGGTCCGACGTGGTGGTTCTGTGCTTCTCCATCGCCAACCCCAACTCCCTTCACCATGTCAAGACCATGTGGTACCCCGAGATCAAGCACTTCTGCCCCCGGGCACCTGTCATCTTGGTGGGCTGCCAGCTGGACCTGCGCTACGCCGACCTGGAGGCCGTCAATAGGGCCCGGCGACCCTTGGCTCGGTAGGGACGCGGGTGCCTAGGAGGGGGCACTGAGGAAGACAGAGGGAGGGGGTGTCTCCATGGCTCCCTGCTGAGCCCCGAGGGAACCCACTTAGCCTTACATCTCTCCCTTCATTTAAAGCAAGTCTGTGTAGGAAGCCAAGAGTGCTCCGTCTTTCATTCACTCATCTATTCCTTCATCTCTTACACACTGTGTTTGCAATACTGAGCAGCGCGAGGAGAGAAGGAGAGAAGCAGTTTTGCATGAAAGGAGCCTATCATCTTGCTGGGAGATGAACTTAACACATTGCGGACGGATCACGAGAATTCTCATGTTTTCTGTTCTAAGGCTTGTGGCCAATCAAGAGCATTCTTTAAAAAGATAGTAGCTTGTAAGAACATGTAACAAATAACTTCAAAATGCATTGGGTATTTAATTTGAAAGCGTGCCGTTAACATTTATGTAAAACGTTTTTTGCACTCATTCAATAGAAACTTATCTGGCCACTGGGTAAAGCTAGCAATAAAACTACTGGCCTGCAATGTGTTAATATGAGAACATGTTAAAAACTAGTGTAAAAAATTGCATGCTGCCTGCCAAAGGGGGAAGTAGTGCTAACATTACTTTGGGCGGGAAATCACCGGGGCCTGACAGGTGCGGAAGGCTCCCTGGAAGAAGAGGGGACTGGAGGTAGGCCTTGAGGGCCGGCAGGATTTGGTCGGAGAAAGGAGAAAGGCAGAGATTCATTAGGATTGAGGAGGGCAGGGGTGAGGCCAGGGAGAGGCTCCCCCGCCCCCCCAAGCCTGGTGAAGAACAGGCAGGCCCTAGGGACCTGCCTCCCCCTGTCCGCCACCCTCCCCAACATGACTTTGCTTTGCCCTCTTGAACGTCCAGGCCCATCAAGCCCAATGAGATTCTTCCCCCCGAGAAGGGAAGGGAGGTGGCCAAGGAGCTGGGCATCCCCTACTATGAGACCAGCGTGGTGGCCCAGTTCGGCATCAAGGACGTCTTCGACAACGCCATCCGCGCAGCCCTCATCTCTCGCCGCCACCTGCAGTTCTGGAAGTCCCACCTCCGCAACGTGCAGCGGCCTCTGCTGCAGGCACCCTTCCTGCCCCCCAAGCCCCCTCCCCCCATCATCGTGGTGCCCGACCCCCCCTCCAGCAGTGAGGAGTGCCCCGCCCACCTCCTGGAGGACCCGCTGTGCGCGGACGTCATTCTGGTGCTGCAGGAGCGGGTGCGCATCTTTGCCCACAAGATCTACCTCTCCACGTCCTCCTCCAAGTTCTACGACCTGTTCCTCATGGACCTGAGTGACGGGGAGCTGGGGGGCCCCTCGGGGCCAGGGGGCCCCCGCCCAGAGGACCACCGGGCTCACCCTGACCCACACCACCACCATCACCACCACCACGGCCGGGACTTCCTGCTCCGGGCCGCCAGCTTTGACGTGTGCGAGAGCGTGGAGGACGGTGCAGGCTCGGGCCCCGCTGGGCTCCGGGCCTCCACCAGCGACGGGATCTTACGGGGCAACGGAACAGGGTACCTGCCTGGGAGAGGCCGCGTGCTGTCTTCCTGGAGCCGAGCTTTTTTGAGCATCCAGGAGGAGATGGCAGAGGACCCACTGACCTACAAATCCAGGCTGATGGTGGTGGTGAAAATGGACAGTTCCATCCAGCCAGGGCCTTTCCGGGCGGTCCTCAAGTACCTGTACACGGGGGAGCTGGACGAGAAGGAGCGGGACCTCATGCACATCGCCCACATCGCCGAGCTGCTTGAGGTCTTTGATCTGCGCATGATGGTGGCCAACATTCTCAACAACGAGGCCTTCATGAACCAGGAGATCACCAAGGCCTTCCACGTCCGCCGGACCAACCGGGTGAAGGAGTGCTTGGCAAAGGGCACCTTCTCAGGTAGGGAATGTGCTTAGGAACTTGTAGCCAGAAGGCAGAGGGGTGCCCTCCCAGTGGCCTTCTGAAGAGCCCGGGCTCCGATTAGCGCTCGGCTGCTGAAGCCCTGCGAGGTGCTGGCTCCGCCTGGGGCCTGAGCGTGTGGCCAGGTGGCGCGTCCCAGCTGTGGCTTCAGAAGGAAGCATGTTGTCTGGGTGCGGGGTCGACCCTTGGGGTTGATTGCCCCACATTCTTTCACCGCATCCTCACGTGATGCTTCGTCTCCTCCTGGGCAGATGTGACCTTCATCCTGGATGACGGCACCATCAGCGCCCACAAGCCCCTGTTGATTTCCAGCTGCGACTGGATGGCTGCCATGTTTGGGGGGCCGTTTGTGGAGAGTTCCACCCGGGAGGTAAGGCTTCTTTGCCTCTGAGATGTGTCATTTAATGGTGCTTTCCTCAGCATTTACGAGGAGATGGGCCTGAGGGAAGCTTATGAGGTGGTTCCCATAGCCAAGGATTCACAGTACATCAGGATGGACTTATAGTAGCATCTTGACTCTGTAGTTTAGAAAGCACTTTCAATACATTATCTCAGCTCGTCTCCCCCAGCCTCTCGGACATGGCTTAGCATTCCCACTTTATACACGAGGGAAGCGAGGGCCTGAGAGGTTAATGACTTGTGCAAAGTTGTCTAAGTAGAAAGGAGAGGCTAGAACTGGAACTTGGAACCTCTGTACCTTGCTTTCTCCCTGAAACAACTAGAAAAAAGTTCAGTGTGTCCCCGGCTGAACCCGTCACTGTTTTCAAGTGTAAGTTTTATTAATCGAGGCATGGTGAACATAACAGATCAGGATGAGACTGCCATTGAAAAGATACATTTTACACTCACAGATCTAGTAAGAGGACGCACGCGCATGGGGGCTGAGGGGTGGAGCACATGTGGAGGCACCAGGGTTGGCCAGGAGACAGAGAGCAAGGGGAGCTGTGGGCAGTGGCCTTTATTGTGGTTTCCTGGGAAGAAAGGACAGGGAGAGGCAGGGTAAGCTCTCAGATGGGCTGGCTTGCTTCATGTAGCAGGCCTGGGGCATAGGGGCTGTCCTAGTCATCTGGTGCCTGGCTCTGGGGTGATTAGGGCAGGTGGACAGTGGCTAAGGGTGTGAGCTGATCAAGGAGGTGGTGGGGGTGTGGATTCTGGATTTGCATACAAAAGGGATTCCTTTACTGTTTGTTGGAGCTGGCTAGCCCTGGGAGGGGCAGGCCCTCGGCTCCTGGTGCCACAGCATCACATATGGAATACCTTAATTTAGAAAGAAATTAAAAATAAAAGATAAAATAAAAAGGATGGGAATAATAAAAAAATACAGAAAATAAAAAATGCTTCACATCGTCACCTTTTGATCCCTTTGATCATGGCCACTCCAACTCACCTTAGGACAGAGAGTGTCAGCAGAGCTGGAAGGGGCCTATCAGTGTGTCCTTAGAAACACTCTCTCAAGTCTGATCTTCGCATTCTCCCAGCTCAGCAGAGTGGCCTAGGCCGCTGCCTTGGTATTCTCCATCTTCTCTGAACTTCTATTACATTAATTATTCATTAACTCAGCCTTGCTGTTAACAAAGTACGACTTTGTGCAGCTGCTTAAAGTGCTGAGAGTGCACACGCGGGTTCCCAGCTGGTCTGGGATGTCTTGCGTGCAGGGGCTGGGTCCTTACTTCGGCCAGGCGCCCCTCAGCCAGCGCCGCCCCTTCGTGAGTGCTCGCCAAGTACCTGGAGGGAAAACTGGACTGAACAACGCAGCACAGTCCCTGCGACGGGGAACAGGAATTTCCTAGGATTTCCAGGAAGAAGTCCTTTCGGAAGAGAACTAAGCGGAGGTTGAGATTTGAGTGGGTCTCTGATCCTTGAAGTGGGCGTGGGGTTGGGATTTGCTAAGTGAGAGACTAGGGACTCTGCAGCCCCAGGGCCAGCCAGCCCTGAGCACTTCTCAGTACCATAGAAGCGGCTGCGAAGCTCCAGCCGGGTCCCAGCGCAGCCTACGACTCCGTCTCATGAGAAAGCAGTTGTTGAAGCAGCGCTGCTCTGAGCAGATCTCGGAGGCCCACAGGAGCAGCTTCGAGAAGCCAGCTGATGTTGGCTTACTTGTCCACACCCCACTTGCTCTGCTGCCTGCGGGGCTGGGAGGAGCCAGGGTGTGGGTGCAGGTGACCTGAGGACTGCTGCCCGCATCCTCTAAGCCAGGGTGCCTCGGAAGGGTGCCAGTGAGAACCGGGTCCTTTAAAAAGCCGTTAGAGCCCTGCTCCCTGGGGCAGCCAGCAGATGGACTGAGCACAGGCTGTCTCTCTGGGAGGCAGGCCTTTGGGGGCCCCTCAGCAGGTACAGGGGCTGCACAGGGGTGGCTCCCTGTTTGGGGGAGACCGGCTGTGTGGGGCTGGGCCTTCTGAGTTTCTCAGAGTGAGTGACCTCACTGCCTGCCTCCTCCTGCCCCAGGTTGTGTTTCCGCACACGAGCAGGAGCTGCATGCGGGCGGTGCTGGAGTACCTGTACACCGGCATGTTCACCTCCAGCCCCGACCTGGACGACATGAAGCTCATCATCCTGGCCAACCGCCTCTGCCTGCCGCACCTGGTCGCCCTCACAGGTGACTAACGAGTGCGCAGACCTCCCTGGGGGAGGAGGCAGGGGACCCGCCAGCAGTGCTGGGGATATACCACTAGCACCTCCCTGGGGATACACCGCTAGCACCGAGGGACCCGCTGACCTACAGGAAGCATGTTGACGTGTATGGGGCATTGGGTGAGGACACAGATGTGATGAAGTGTGTGTGAGAAGGATGCTCGATGGAGTCACCAGTAGGTCGTATCCAAAGGTGACTCCCGCTCAACAAAAGGGTCTCCAGTAGATGCCAGTGCCTGGTGCTCCTCTCAGCGTGGCTTGCCTGAGGGGTCAGAGAGAATAGGACGCAGCTCCCCGTTTCCAGCCTTTGGTCCTCCTCCTCCTCCCCCTCCTTTGTCTCGTTTGGTCACATAAATCTGCTTTATTCTGTATTCTTTCCTTTTCCTTCTCCTCCCTTTTCTCCTCCTTTTCTCTTCCACCTTTATTTTCTCTTTCTTCTTCCAGAAACAGACAATGAGCATTGACCTGCCATTTCTCTATTTCACTGAAAAGATTGTGAGAGCGGAGCTCAGCTTTTGTTTTATTTTATTTTATTTTTATTTATTATTTAACCCTCACCCAATAATTTTTTATTTTTTATTTTTTACTAATTTTAAAGAGAGAGAAAGAGAAACATCAGTTGGTTGCCTCCCATATTCTCCCTAACTGGATCAAACGCACACCCCAGGTATGTGCCCTGACCGGGAATCAAACTTGCAACCTTTTGGTGTATGGGAAGACACTCCAACCAAATGAGCCACCCAGCCAGGGCTGGAGCTCAGCTTTTGGAAGGCACCAGCCTTAGAGGGCCCTCAGGTGGAACAGGGACTGAGGCAAGAGGGAAGCCAAGTGGCAGACCATGAGAGTCGGGGCCAGCAATGCAGGCAGACAGACAGCTCCTGGTGGTGTTGGAACTGGAATCTGTGTGGCATTGGTGTTGGCATTGATACCTAGACTGGTGGCGATATCGGGGTTATAGTCTTGGCTGGTCGGCGGGCGGGCAGAGAGCAGGGCCTCTGACATTGGGTCGAGGTTCAGGGAAGGCCCTCGTGTCAGAGCTGCTGGGGCCCTGGGCAGACAATCAAATCTGGGACTCAGATATAAGGGAAGCATCAATCTTATGATGAGAAATGGTCATAAGGTAGGGCTTGGTCATAGGAAGACGGCAGAAATCATTGATCAGAACCGGAAGGGTAAGGGCTGAGCCTGCAAAGGGAGTCCAGGGGCCCCAGCTGGGGACACAGGGTGTAAGGGCAGGGAGCAAGAGGGAGGCTTCTGAAGATCACAGCTGGGACAGCATGGCATCCGCACTGTCCATGAAAAGTGGTGCAGGCTTCCCAGAGCACATAAGCTGTCCACATCCTTGGGCCAAGTAATTCAACTTTATTTTATTTATTTATTGCAGAGAAGAAGGGAGAGGGAGAGAGAGATAAAAACATCAATGACAAGGGAGAATCATTGATCGGCTGCCTCCTGCACACCCCCTACTGGGGATCGAGCCTGCAACCCAGGCGTGTGCCCTGACCAGGAATAGACCCATGACCTCCTGGTTCATAGGTCAACGCTCAACCACCAAGCCACACAAGCTGGGCAAGTAATTCAACTTTAGAAAGACAATCTCCAAAGAAATGACTCAAAGGAAAAAAGTATATAAAGATGCTTCTGTAAGTTTGTTTCATCATGGCGGGCAATCAGAGACAAGTCAAATAGGCACTACTGGTTGAGCACACATGGGTAATTTTCACGAGGTAGCCATTACAAATGTTAAATGGCAGTGATGCGCGAAAAGGCTCATAGAAAATAATCTTGAATGACTTTCCCCATGAAAGGGTCTATGCACGCTAGAAATCATGTACAAAAATGTATTGTGTATACCTTATCAAGGATCAGCAGAAAATGCCGGGTATGGTAGAGCTGGTGATGCTTTATGTTTTGTGAGGTATGCTTTCTCTGAAGTTATAAATTCAAGCTTAAAACATTTTTATTAAATATAACACAATACACATATGTTCAGCTTAATGAATTATTATAAAGCAAAATGACCCATATCAGGAGCTAGAACCTTCCAGCCACACAGTCGTCTTCCACCCGTCCCTCCCAATCACAGTCCTTCCCTCCTCCCCAGGAGTTACCTCTTTGCCTATTACTCTTTTGGGAGGTGCTTTTTATGGCCTCACTTCCTTGGTCTTCTTCATAGTTTTATCATCCAAATGATAAACCTGTTTTTACATCCTTAATCACGTTAGCATGGTTTTATTTTTGATATACTTTTAAAGTTTTTTTTCATCTATAGCAGTGGTTCTCAACCTTCCTAAAGCCGCGACCCTTCAATACAGTTCCTCATGTTGTGGTGACCCCCAATTTCATTGTTACAAATTGAACATAATTAAAGCATAGTGATTAATCACAAAAACAATATGTAATTATATATGTGTTTTCCGATGGTCTTAGGCGACCCCTGTGAAAGGGTCGTTCGACCCCCAAAGGGGTCGCGACCCACAGGTTGAGAACTGCTGATCTATAGGTACCTTGTTCATTAAAAAAAAAACAACAAAAAACAAAAAACAATTTTCCCGCCTTGGCCGGTGTGGCTCAGTTGGTTGGAGCGTCGTTCCGTGCCACAGGTTCGATTTCCAGTGAAAGCACATACTCAGGTTGCAGGTTCCTTCCCCGGGCAGGTTGCATGGGAGGCAACCTATTGATGTTTCTCACATCGATGTTTCTCTCTTTTCCCCCTCTCCCTTCCTTTCTCTCTAAAATCAACAAAAACATATCCTCAGGTGAGGATATAAAAAAGAGAGAAAGCAGAAAATTTCCCCTTGCAAAGCACCCAATGATCTAGAAAATTTAGATATTTTTAGTTGATTGTATTTCTATGTAGCACCATACTTCCCATAGACTAGTAATTAGACATAGAGGCTAGATCACATTCACATTCCGTTTTCTTTGGGCAAGACAACTTCATAGGTTGTTTCTGTGCTTTTTCTCTTGTCGTGATGTTATCAGCCATTGAGCATCATTGCCTGGATCCATTAATTTATTAGCTGTGAAATGGTAGTGCTCCAATTCAGTCATTCTTCCTTTGTTTATCTGTTGGAATATTTCCAGAAAGAGAAAAACTCCTCACCTACTGTTTGGTTAACCAGTGGCATAATTCAAATAGGAGAGGCAGGTGACTGCTTGATTCTTTCCTTTTATCCAGATTTCAAGATAAATTTGTTTCCTATCCTTTCAGCCTTTGAGGGTGACCAATTAGGTTTTGTTTGTTTTTTTAAGTATTATTGTGAACCCTTAGATCAGTGCCTCTCAACCTTGGCTGCACATTAGAATCACCTGGGAATCTTTTTAAAATCTTGATTTCTGGACCTCATCCTCCGGAAATTCTGTTCCTTTGTTATGGGGTGGGGCCACAATATTAGTAACAAAGTGGTTCTATGGAATGAGGTGTTTCAGGATCCTTGTGTTCATTTCCTGACGCAGACCTGGAATTAGCCCTTTCTCTATGAGATCCTGGTGCCCGAGAGCCGGAAATGGCATTCAGGGCTGCAGCCTGAGCACCAGGAATGCTCCTTCTGCTGCGAGGGCTGTTGTCGCTAGGTCGTTTCCATGTCGCTAGGACTGAGCTGGGAAATACATTTTTAAAGATAAAATACCTCAGGAGTTTATACTGATACTGTTAAAATTCAGGACTAAAAGTGTTTACTTCTTCAGTATAAACACTAACTTAAAAAGCAACATTAGTACACGATTCGTTCTAAAATTTAAGTTAATACCAGCAGCTAGGTTTAATCTGGAGTTCTAACTCATAGTTCTCAGCAAACCTGACTTCATACCCTCCCCCTGGCAGTTGCAGTGGTTGATTCCATCAGGGGCTTTCATCCTACGTGTATCAGACTATTTGGAGCAGTATATGTGGCTTGAAAAAATCCTCTTAGACAATACTAACATTCTCCTTCCGTTCCCACCCCGCTCCATTGGGGTAGTCTTGCTCTAATTGCGGTTACCTTGCTGGTGGGAGCCGACTCTAATCGCCTGTGGCCTTTCCTGGGCCTGCTGGGACTTGCCCTTGGCCTTGTTCTCTGTCTGCCCTGCAGTAGGGCCCCTGCTGGGGGGTATAAGTGAGCACATGGCCACTCATGTGCTCCTTCAGCTGATTCCTGGCTGTGTGTGTCACAGAGCAGTACACCGTGACCGGGCTGATGGAAGCAACTCAGATGATGGTGGACATCGATGGGGACGTCCTTGTGTTTCTGGAACTGGCTCAGGTATGGTGGCCAGGGAAGGGCTCTCTCCAACAGGTTCAACTCTGGGCTCTGTCTGCCCATTGGCAGTGAAAGGGAAGGGGCTGGGAGGTGGTGGGTAGGAAGGGAACCCATTGTCAGACGCAGTTCCCTGACTGGGAGAGTCCTTCTCCTCCTCCTGGCCAGAGGATGCACCCTGACCTGCCAAGAGGAGAGCTGGTGTGGGAGTGTGGGGCTGAGACTTCAGGCAGCCATAGAGTAGGGGGGCAAACCCCAGCCTCCTGTGTAGACATGGCTGCTGTCTGCCTGAGGTCAATTAAGGGACACGCAGGACTAAAATTAAATGCCCACCTCCTTATTCCCATACAAATTAGCAGAATCCCCCACACTGGCCCTTCTAGCACTAAAGATCAGTTCTGGAGTTAAAGCATGCCAGATTCGAGGCTTGCAGACACACCTGGGAAAGTTAGCTCTAAGCCTAGTCATCAACACCTTAGTGTAGACTGCTTTGGCTGTGGCCGGGGAAGAGAAGAACAGCGCCCGGAGTAAGATCTGAGGAGGCAGACACAGTAGGAAGCCACAACGTAAGGCCTGGGATTTCCACAGATGCTGGCACAGGACAGAGGCCAGGTGGTGGTGCTGGTGGTGCTGGTGGTGGTCATGGTGGTGGTGGTGCCAAGAGCGTGTGTGGCTGTGCCTCTCCAGGTGGGCCTTCCCACTCACTGCACAGCCTTCGCCACCTGCACCGAAGGTTCTGCTCTGACAGCAACCGGAGCTGCCCGAGCTGACCCCGCCCTGGGTCTCAGCACGGCGCCCTTCTGTGTTTCCCCAGTTCCACTGTGCGTACCAGTTGGCAGACTGGTGTCTCCACCACATCTGCACCAACTACAACAACGTGTGCCGCAAGTTCCCCCGAGACATGAAGGCCATGTCCCCAGGTGAGCATCCCCGGCAGGACCTGCTGATCCCCCGCTTCATGCTGAAGGGGCCTCCACCCTGGTCCAGATCTCCGACTGGACCCCAGGGCACCCGGAAGCTGCCACAGGTCCTTGGGTTGGGCCTAACTTGACCTTGCAGGAGGGAAGTAGCCTGCAAAGTTGCATCCGGCCAAGCAGTTGCGCCGGCCTGGTGGGCAGCACAGCTGGGGACCGGTGGCAGCTCACTCCACCTATCTGGGCTTCTGTGTCTCACACGTATAAAGAGGGTGTAGGACTAGAGGTATTTTCTCAGACTTCCTGGACAGGACTCCACAGTAAGAACTACATTTTACATGGTGACCCAGGACCCATATAGAAAGACGTAAAATGTTCGTAATTCTGCTCATGATACTACACTGGTTTCCCAAGGTAGGAATGGCCACAAGCCACAGCTCGGGCAACACAGGTCCGGATAGCCTCTGAGGCCCTGGCACTCTGCCTCTGCGTCACGAATGTGCCAGGTCCTGGGGCCCAACAGGAACTGCACGGGCACCTGGGAGAGGTGTCCCTGGCCTCCCCGAGTTCCTGCCACTCGGTGTCCTTGAGGTCCGCACTGGGCAACCTCACTCTGCTGGGCCCTCCTCCCTGCTCCCAGGTTGTCTCTGCACCCTGCCCTTCTCTCACCCCCTTCTCTCCCTTTCACCCTTGGAGCGTTTTCTTTCTAAAGCCCAGCCCCAATCACATCACTCCCCTGATTCCAAACTTCCCGTGGCCCCCTACGCCTCTCAGAATCAGTCCTTACCCCTCAGCCTCGCCTTCCCGGTCTGACCCTCCTGCAGCCCACGCCCCCTTCAGCTCAGAACCTCAGCTCTGCCGGATGCTGCTACCTCAGCAGGTGCCGCACCTGCTCCCTGCCTCATTCTTCGCCCCGTTTTATTCCCAGTACACAGGACGCACCCCTTGGGGCCTTCCCATGGGACCTTCTCTAGGGAGCTCTGCAGCCAGGTGGGGGCTCTGTGAAGGCAGGGGCTTCCCCTTGCGGCCCAGGGCCTGGGATGTGCTCCTGGCTGACAGGTCCCCGAGGCATCCGGGTGGGGTGGGGGTCCCTGGACTCCCTTCACATCCCAGGGCTCCTCTCACCCCTTCTGCCTTCCTTCTAACCGAGCCCCACTGCATTCTCTCCAGAAAACCAGGAGTATTTTGAGAAGCACCGCTGGCCGCCCGTGTGGTACCTGAAGGAGGAGGATCACTACCAGCGGGCCCGGAAGGAGCGGGAGAAGGAGGACTATCTCCACCTGAAGCGGCAGCCCAAGCGGCGGTGGCTGTTCTGGAACAGTCCCTCCTCCCCGTCCTCCCCCGCGGCCTCCTCGGCGTCCCCATCTTCCTCCTCGGCCTTGGTCTGAGATGCTGCCGCCCTCTTCTGACTCTGCTGCTCTTGTGCCCACCTGCCCTTGCCCCTCCGCTCTCTGCATCGCCCCCTCCACCTCCCAGGGACAAGGGGACCCACCTAACCAGGACCCGAAGGGCGGGGCTGTTCTCACCAGCCAACAGCTCATCCAGAGAGGAGCCAGGCCTCATGGGTCAGAACAGGGACCCCCTTCGGAGGCCCCCAGTTCTGAAACAGGGCGGGGGACAGTTCCTGGGAGGTGGGAGCAGGGGACAGCTCCTGAGAGTGCTGACATCCTGTCTCTGGGCTGGACAACCCTAGAGTCAGGGGGGGAACTTCCAGCCATGAGAGCTGTGGTCTGTGGAGGCAGCCCCCTCCCGGGAGCGCAGTGCACAGGGAGGTCCTGCCTCTATGGGCCATAGTTTTCCACCAGTGGGCTTGGGGGTTGCAAATGTTTTGTGGGCATTTCCACGCGGAGCCTACTCAAATCCTCACCGGAGAAGTCAGGGTAGATAAGCCTTCAGGGCCCCGCCCAAGGCTTCCACTTCCTGGGTGCAGCTGCCGGAGGCCACACCTCCTGGGTGCCTCTGGGGCTGCCAGCAGCCAGGCCTGGTCAAGGGAAGTGGAGTTGTTCAGAGCTCCAGGCCTAGAAGCAGGGTCTCCTGGTGCAGTGAGAAACTTCTCCCTCCACTCTCCTTCACACTCCGAGATGGGATCCAAAGGAAACAGAACAGGGAAAGAAGGAAGCGGGCGGAGGGGGTCTGGACGCAGCAATCCTGGGCTCCTCGGGGCTCCTCTAGTTCGCATGGCTTCTTACGGGGTGGGGCAAAATTAGCAAAAAAAGAAAAAGCAACAAACAAAACCACCACCAACAGAAACACTCTAGCCTCTATTCCCTCAAAGAAAGGCCAGAGAAAGACCCTGTATGGCTTACATTTTATAAAACCAAACAGGCCCCCGCACTGATGAGACAGAGGTTTAGACTATAGAAGTGTTTCGAGCCCTGTGAGGAGAGGGCTGCCGCCTGCAGTGAGGGGTGCCCGGCTGCCGGAGGCTCTGGGGCAGCAGCAGTCCCAGGCCTCCAGCCTGCGGGCGCTGAGGGCCCGGGGCGGGGTGGGAGGGAAGCTGGCCTCGGGGGTGGACTGTGGCCTTGGGTGATTACTGTTGCCCATCATGAGAGGCAGGTTACCCTCCTCGCCTTCAGAGGTGACCCCACAGGATGTGTTTGGAGGGCGGGTTGGGGGAGGGGTCAAGGGCCAGGAAAAAGGTCACTGACTGGGGAATAGGAATCTCGGCGATGCAGGCTCCTAGGACAGGCCCTCCCTTAGTGCTGGTCTGGGATAAAAGGGGACGAGGAAGGGAGGGTGGAGCCGGGGCAGCTCCAGGGTCGTCCAGAGAAGAGGAGGATGAGGAGAGCACTTGCAGCCCCACGGGGAGAAGCTGGGCCGCGATGGTCCTATTTCACTCCCACATCCTTTCTAGGCAGAAGACAGAGTCCCTCTGGGGAGGGTGGAGCCGGAGGGACACTGAGCTCCGGGCTCCGAGCTGCGGAGCCGCCTGGCCGGAGGAGGGACTGGCTTTAGGGCCAGGCCCCGGGGTGGGTCCCACCACAGCCAGGCTTCAGGTCTGGGAGGGAACAAACTTGCAACCAAGGAAACCTTTGTAACAACCCCGTGGTGCCAAGACCTAGAGATTTCAGGTTAAGTCTTCTTCAAAAGAAGCAGCAGGAGGTGGCTGAGTGGCTGTGACCCGTGCTGTCGGAGCCCAAGGCCCTGGTGCCTCCCCTCCAAGTCCTGCAGGGTGGCTGCTGGGCATGCCGGTCGCGTGCTGCCCTCTGCTGGCCGGTCTGTGGCCTCGGGAGGCTGAGGAGCAATGGGAGGGGCAGGGCAGGGCGGGCAGTGTATGGGGGAACAGCTCTGCCCCCGGCAGCACCTTTGCTCTGGGGAAGGAAACACGAGGAGCCACGGTCTCCCAGGAGCTGTAGGTGAGAGGAGGAGCCAAGGCCTGAAGTCCACGAGGAGGGGAAGTGGGAGTCTATGAGTTTGCAGGGCAGAGCCCTGGCCAGTGGGGGGAGAAAGTGAGGGTGGCCCAGGAGGCGCAGGTGTAACCCAGAGACACCACTTGTGGGGGAGGGGGCAGGCCGGGCCTGGGGGTCCCTCTCCGAGGGAAGGGCATGGAGGAGAGGGAAGGCGGGGCTATGATTCCAGTCCCCCGGGGCCCTGACACTTGGAAATTCAGTCAGAGCAGGAGCCCGGCCATGTGGGGCGAGTATGAAAGCATCCGGGGAAAGGGAGGAGGGCGTCCCACAGCGAGAACGGACAGCCCAGGACTCATGTCACTCGGAGCTGTTCCAGAGGATGGAGGACGGACGCGGAGAAAACAACAAACCCACACTCTTTTTATATGAGGTTTCATATTTAATTTGGTCATGGATTCATAAATACATGAATATTTTGTACCTAATGGCTTTCCTTGTATTGTTATTGATATTTCCAACAAACTTCAAAGGTGCACTTTTCACTGGAGAGAAGCATGAAAAAATACCCAATCGCTAAGGACATACTGAGTGCGAATTAAGTGCGAGGTGCTATGTGAACTGGACATAAAACAAAAGAGACAACTTCATGGTCTCATGACCTTTTAAATAAATAAACAAGACAACCAGGCAACTAAGAAAGAGACAACCAAGCTGGAACCTGACTGAAAAAAAGTCATTCACACCTGACGATGCGTGGGCAGAGCGTCTCACAGTACAGCAAAGGCAGGAAGTACCTGGCCTGTCTCATAGCACCAAGGATGAAATTACGGGTGCAGTTCATGTTTACAGACTAATAAAGGCCTGAATAAATAACCAAATAGGGGGAGGGAGAAGGGAGAGAGTCTTGTTAATGCTAAGTTATCAAATATTAGCACCGTCCACTTCTCTTCGAGACCAGGGCAGACAGCGGGAGCAGAACCCTGACCCCTGACGTGCAGCCCCAGAGCCAGCTTGGGCCGGACGTCACCAGTATGACTGGAAGTGGCACATGACCTAGCAGGTACCTGGCACATCTCCCACCCTCCTCACACACATCCAAAGATGAGGGAAAGGAGACCCAGGCATGGATGCCCAGGTCGGGAACAGCCGACCCAGGGCCGCACCACTTCTCACTTGTTAAAATCCCTCTATAAATATTCAAACACAACAATCACATGGGAGAGTTGTCCCTGTAGAGCCGGGGTGGGGGACCTTTTACTGCCAAGGGCCATGTGGATATTTATAACATCATTCGTGAGCCATACAAAATTAACAACTTGAAAACCGGCCCGCTATATTTGATCATTTAACTAAGCTCCCTGCTTCTCTTTGGTGAGGTGTGTGATGTATTTGGTGAGGTGTGTAGCTGGTATTGATGATGTTACTACTCGCAACTGCCTTTTCAGGTTTCCGTCGGTCAGTCTGGAGTGCAGTCGACTCTGGGCGATGGTAAGTTTTGAAAAGAACTTTTACAGGATTCCAGGGCAGAGGAATAGGGAAACTGAGACAGGAAAGTTAAAACAAGGCCAAACAGTGTGGGCAATTTGCAGCTTGTAACTAACAAACCATTATCTTCCCCAGCCAAGGACAGGAGAGCAAATGGTTAAAAAACCTTCCCTAACCAGAGAATGCAGAAAGGGAGGGGGGAAGAGGAAAGAAAAAAGGGCAGTTTTACTCCCTGAGCAGAGAAGGCAGCAGTCTCAAGGCTGGGCAAGATCAAGTTGCCAGGTGCTGCTCATGAATTCTGGGAAGGCCCCAACAAAGTGAAAAGGGGCCTTTGGAATGAATCTGCACCGAAATAGTCACCAGAGGAATTCTGAGACCTACAGATGGGGCGGGGGGGGGGGGGGGGGGGGGGGCGCGGTATACGGCTTTTCGGGCCCCCACCCAACCGGCTCTTCAGATTGGCTGAGGCCTGTCTGTGCTTCATTGATTTTATCCTGAGCACTGATTTTATCCAGATGCATTTGGTCTCCCAACTCATCGAGTTTAGTATGTTTTTTGCTTCGGTTTTTTAGAGAGTGGAGAGAGAGAGACATCGATGTGAGAGACACACATTGGTTGCCGCTCCCTCACTGGCCTTGACCAGGGTCAGGGATGGAGCCTGCAACCGAGGTATGTGCCCTTGACTGCAATCAAACTGGGACCCTTCAATCCGAGGGCCGACACTATCCGCCAAGCCAAACCAGCTAGGGCGAGGTTAGCATGTTTTGAGCTATAATGATGCTCCAGATTGGCTTTGTCATTACTGCTAACGCACACGGGTTTGCCTTTTACTTCAACAACAAAAAACAATGGTTTGTCCATTTCTCTTGGAAAGACTGACACTCTGCATTAACTTTTCTTTTCTTTGTAGTCGCCATTTGTAGGGTGTCACACCCTTAAGTTTTAATAACTATCCAGTGGGTGTGTCACCAGCAACGCAATTATTTTGCTTTGATCGTTCCAATCTTGCATCTTGGATTTGAAACATATCCAACATTTGTATCATTGGCTCTAGAGGTCTTTTCTTTGTACCGTAATGTCCTTAATATTTACCTGATATTCAGGTTTTTTGAGAATTGTTGATCGTGGGCGTATGGATAAAGGGTGGATTGGAGTTATCTGTCAGCAAAGAAGTCGACAACATCGTTGTCAATTATTGGAGGCAAGGTCATCCACGTCACGAGGAATCATCTCATCGCACCTCATCTCATCATCATGGGATCGCAGTAGTTTTGCCACAGTGTGTTAACACTTTCACAGCCTGCACACTCCCAGGCAGCCCGTAGCTGCCTGTCCTCGGAGTCACCTCAATACTGGCAGGTAGGCCACGGGCAGCTGACGAGAAACATACATGTCTGTCCTGTCATGTAATGGTTCTGTTGGCCTTACAGGGCCCGAGGGCCAGACATTTCCCGCCCCTGTGGAAAAAGTGGCCGGTCCTCTAATGCTGGACAAACTCAAACTGCACCTGAGGGAGCTGGAACTCACTAGCACCACCCCCAGAGGTGCAGTGATTCCTTTGCAATTTTGTTAACTTCTCTCATTTAGGTAACCTAAATGCGATCTACCTATTAAATACATTTCCAAAAAGTTTTTCATAAACATACAAATATATACAGGGTGGGGCAAAAATAAGTTTGCAGAAAATAATCTATATGTATAAAAACCAAGCTACCGGAATGACCAGTTGTTATGGCACGCACTGTGGCAGCCAACCAGCCCGATCGGGGCCGATTGGCACCTCCCAACCGACCATGGCCCCTTCCCCGCCCCTGAGCCTGGCCCATCTGGGTGGGCAGCTGGATCCTGCCCATGCACGAATTCGTGCACTGGGCTTCTAGTACAATGATAAACAATAATAATACAAGAACGAACTTCCAAGTATAAAAATAAAAAGAGCCCTATCATAGTTAGACATAAATACCTGGACACATAACAACACAGATGGATTATACAAAACATTAAATAACAAGTAAAAAGTAGAAATCTATTAGAATAAAAAAGTGCCAGGCCTGGCTGGTGTGGCTCAGAGGTTAAGCATTGGCCTATGAACCAATTTGAAGAGAAATTTCTCCAAGCTTATTGATTTCAGAGAGGAAGGGAGAGGGAGAGGGATAGAAACATCAATGGTAAGAGAGAATCATCAAGCAGCTGCCTCCCACACAGCCCCTGCTGGGGATCCAGCCTGCAATCTGGGCATGTGCCCTGACAGGGAGTAGATCCATGACCTTCTGATTCACAGGTTGATGCTCAACTACTGAGCCGCACTGGCCAGGCATGTAGTGTCCAGTCTTATTTCCCTTTCAGGAGAAAAGATAAACTAGGAAAGGTCTGGTCTCTAAAAGAGATTCTTTTCACTGGGAAACAGCAGAACCTGCTTCACCCACTTCATAGACATACTTTCCGGACGCCAGCAGGTAGTCCTGCATCTCCTCCTTTGCTTTCGTTTCCCCCAGTGTGTCCAAGCTGTCCAGTAGGGTGTTGACTGAGGCAGCCTTCCCCTTGATGTTGATCCAGGTGGTCAGCATGAGATACAAGGCATCCCGCTGGTTCGACACTTGTGCTTTGGCTATGCAGATATCATTTTCCGGGAGGCCCACCAACCTCATGAACGGCTCCCAGCGAGTAAAGGGCACGATCCTTGAGAACTCGTAGAAGCACTCCCTCAGGGCTAGATGGGAAAAAGCCACAGAGACAGTCAGGTGAGGTGGAGGAAACCCTGCAAAAAGGGCAGATGCAGACCTAGCCAGTTTGGCTTGGTGGTTAGAGTGTCGGCCCACAAAGTGAAGGGCCTTGGGTGCGATTACAGTCAAGGACACATACCTCGGTTGCAGGCTTAATCCCAGGCCCTGGTCAGGGCACATGTGGGAGGCAGCCAATTGATAGTCTCTCTCACATCAGTGTTTCTCTCTCTGTCTTTCCCCTTCCTTCCATCTCTCTAAAATCAATGGGAAAAATATCCTCGGATGAGGATTAACAACAAAAAGGGCAGCTGTATACTGGAGCGCCCCCTGGTGGTTACCTGCTGCTCGTTATCCCTTACCTGCTTCCCATCAGCATACCGGACTAGAATCAGGCCAGTCTGGGCCTCGCTTGTGCCCATGGCACTTCGGAGAGTCAAGATCAACAGAGAATTCTGCTTTAAGGGAAGGCTGATAGCCACATGGGAGGGGAGATGGACGTCATGGATCGAGCGAGCGAGGAGTATGTGGTAGGAGACAGAGCGTGGGACAGACTGTAGGGCAACAGGCCCTCAGAGGAGGGAGCCTGCACTTATCCTGAGGGTAAGGTCGGGGGCTGCCACATCCGCACCTGTGCACAGCCCGAGGGCTAGAGGGGGACGATCTCTGGCTCCACACCCAGCTTGGCCCCACCCCCCAAACTGGCAGAGTGGGACGGGCACAAACAGACTCTGAGCAAGAATTTAACCCGGAAGCAAACCCCACCCATTTCATGGGATTGTACTGAGGATTCAATGAGATGTGTGTGGAATGCACTGCACATCACTGACCCACAGAAATATAAGGTGAGCCAGGACCACTTATTTATATTTTTCTAATAGCTGAATTAAAGAAGATAAAAAGGAACAGGTAATATTCATTTTAATACTATCTGGTACTAATTCAATACTTACAAAATATTATATTTACAGGCAATCAATAAACAAAAAGTTACCAATGGAATATTTTATATTCCTTTTCTGTACTAATATTTAAAATCTGATCTGTAGCTTATCATTACAGCTCTTTAAATTTGGCCTAGCCAGAGGTCAGGTGCTCGGGAGTCTCCTGGGCTGGTGGTGGCCTGCTGGACAGCACCAGCCCCTTAGGTGCCCACAGTGTGGTGAGCCCGGCCCTGAGCAGCCAGGGAAGGGGGAAGGTGGTGGAGAGAAGGACAGGGCAGTACAGAACATTGTTGTGACAGATGGGATGGTGTGCAGTGGGAGGAGCGGGTAGAGGGAGAGAGGAGGGGAAGGGATTTACTGTCCTAACGGTCCAGTGACCATCAGCCTAGGCCCCCGGTTTCCAGCATCCCTGACTCTGTACTGCCCTAACAGCTATGCGGACAGCAGTTAGGACACTGCTCCACTGCCCCCAACAAATCACTCACTTTCTATGGGGTTCTCGTTGTTCGCTGGAACCAGCAGCTTCCTTCTCATCTGAGACCCGTCTGTGCCTGTCGGTCCCTGTAAAATAGAGCGGAAAACCCCCTGGGTTCAAGTCGGGAGTCCTGGATTCCAGAAGTGAGCCTGACCATCAGCCAGCTGTGTGACCTAGGGCAGCCACCTCCCTCCCAGTCTCCATCGAGACAAAGAGGAACCTCCCTGCTGTGCCTCTCAGACTGTGTCCTTGTGTGCTCACGGAGGGCCACGTTTCCTAGAGTAATGCTCACTCCCTGTCAGTTCCAGCGCTGACAACTGGACACACCTGAGTAGCCATCACCCAATCAAGACATGGAACATTCTCACCGCCCTGCACAGCTGCCTCCTGCCCTTTCTAGTCCATTCCCACCCACCCCATCAGGAGACAATCACTCCCTCCCAGGCATGTATGGGACTCAAATAAAGAATATATATGAGGGCACTTTGCAAAATCTAAGTAAGACTTCTTCCACAAAGCTGGAGGTGCACTGATCACTAATACTGTACCACACTGATAATCTAAATAAGGAAATGAAACTATTAGATTGTCTCCATGGAGACTGAAAAGGCATTTTGTAAAATTAAACATGAATTCTGATTTTTTAAAAACACCTCAAAAATAGGGGCTGCATCCATAACGATAAGATTTTCTATATGAACACAAGAGTCAGCATCATTCCTTTAGGTGAAGTATTGAAGGGCTTCCCAGTGAAATCCAGTCAAGATCGAACGCGCGCCTTCTCTAAGCACCTGTGAACATTGTCAGTTCTGGAAACAAAGGAGGCAGGACTTGTGGAAAGGGCAGAAACAATCATTATTTTAGACATGATTATAAATTTTTAAAACCCTAAGGTATAAGCTACAATACTTAAAAATAAATGTGTCCCGCTAGCATGGCTCATTGGTTGAGCATCGACCTATGAACCAGGAGGTCACAGTTCGATGCCCAGTCATGACACATGCCCGGATTGCAGGCTCAATCCACAATGGAGGGCTTCCAGGAGGCAGCCGATCAATGATTCTCTCTCATCATTGATGTTTCTATCTCTCCCTCTCCCTTCCTCTCTGAAATATAAATAAATAAATAAATAAATAAATAAATAAATAAATAAATGCATATCTTGGTGAATGTTAATAAACATACTAGAAACAATAAATTAAAAAACAGAATTACAACAGGATCCAACCAGTAAGGGTCGCAAAACACATAAAATACAAAGAAACAGCTTTTAGTAGAAACAGGAATTAATCGGAAGAAAAACACAAATCTTAACTGAGTCATAATAAAACTCCTGATCTGAAATGCTGTCTTCCTTGATAAGAAAAATATTGAATGTTGAAAGATCTCAATTCTTCTTGGATTAAGGCAAGGCAATATATTTAAAAAATGTTCCAATGACTTTTGTGGAGGTGGGGTGGAGAAAATCTTATAAATAATTCTAAATTTTATATGCATAGAAACAATATATTTTGGCAAGGTATGTGCACTCTCAGATATTAAAAAGTTTCATTTGGTAGAGTATTGTATATAGATGGCATATGCACAAAGATTTCAGCAAAGAATTCTCTCGCCAGTTGGAGAAAGATAAATATCACATGATCAAACTCATTTGTGGAATATAATGAACAACATAAGCTGATGGACAAAAATAAATCCAGAGACTTAGAAGCTCAAACAAACCGTCCAACCTCAGAGGGAGCGGGGGAGGGGGGTTAGGTGATCAACCAAAGGACTTGTATGCATGCATATAAGCATAACCCATGGACACAGACAGTAGTGGGGGTGGTGAGCGCATGAGTCGGGGATGGGAGTGTCCAGGGAGAGGTCAATGGGGGGAAAAGGAGACATATGCAATACTTTAAACAATAAAAAATTTAAATTAAAAAAATAGTAAAAGTTTAAAAATAAAATAAAATCATTTTTACAAAAAGAATCGTCTCTCATAATTACCTGAAATAAAAAAGTGGGGGGGCTGAAGAAAGACTGCAGGAGGCTTCTACCACTCCCTGAGAACCTTTCTGTACTATTTACTTTTTCTCACCGTGGATAAGCACTACTTTAAAAAATGTGAAAAGTGATTAATCACGATTGAGGGATTATTGTCCTTTTTGTTTTGTTTCCTTTTATACTTTATCTTAAAAGAGCATACTGTAGCCGGGCTGGTGTGGCTCAGCGGTTGAGCGCTGATCCATGAACCAAGAGATCACGTGATGTATTCCTGGTCAGGGCACATGCCCGGGGTTGTGAACTTGATCCCCACTAGGGGACATGCAAGAGGGCAACCTATCAATGTTTCTCTCATCACTGATATTTCTGTCTATACCTCTCCCTTCCTCTCTCGAAAATCAATTAAAAACAAACAAACACGTGTTAAAAAGAGCACACCGTAGATGCAGGAAAGAAACAAAGGAAACAGGAAAGTCTGTAAACATTTCACACCTGATAAAGGAGGAGCCAAAAGCCAGGGAATGAGAGGATCCATTGTGAAATGGGGTTGGAGGAAAGAGACAGTGACTCAGAACAAGTCAGACTCCTCATGTCACATCAGGTCACAAAGTCAATTCCATCTGGATAACAACGCTAGATGCTAAAAATCATTGTAAATTTAAAAACTCTAAAAAATTAGTGAATTTCATCTTATGTTAAGGGGAATGACTTTCTAAGCTTCTGAGGAATAAAAATTAAATATTTCTACAGGTTTACCACTCAATGTCATACTAAAACTCATGAACTGATATGAACCAAAACGGTATGCACGTGTGTGTGTGCCCAGAAATTCTACTGCTAAATGCCACCCTACAAATAGGATTAGGTATCTAGACTAAGATTTATTATCATACTAGAGGCCCAGTGCATGGATCGTGCACCAGTGGGGTCCCGCGGCCTGGTCTGCGCCCTCTCCCAATCCGGGACCCCTTGGGGGATGTCAGAGAGGCGGTTTCAGCCCGATCCCCCAGGCCCCATCCTCTCAGGGAGTGGTAGAAGCCTCCTGCAGTCTTTCTTCCTGTGCATTGAGTGTTTTCCCCCTGGTGGTCAGTTCATGTCATAGCGACCAATCGCATAGGCTTTTATAGAGATAGGTTCAATGTAATAAGAATTTTGTAGTAAGTCTGATATTCCTATTGTTGCGAGGAATGGCTTACTAAATTATTTTACAACTACACAGTGGACTATCTGCAGCCCTCATTCAGCCACAACAAAGGTGAGGGCGCCATCCTGTGCCTGCCTGTTCCGGACTCTGGGATATTGTGACATCTAGACAGATAAGAAGACCCAGGCATTCCACAGAGCTAACAGCTCCCTGCAGTGCAGCCCCGTCCCCTTCAGGTCCTGATCTCCTTGTACCATCCTTCCCCAGGACAGCAGTCCTGACCAGCACTGGCCTTTCCCTGCTTCTGACACAGTCCTGGGCCAGCACAAAGGCCAGGACCTGGCATGGCCGCTCCCACTCACCAGTAGAAGCTGTGCTTCTCCTGTGGGCTGCGCCAGGCCACCTGCCAGCTCTTCCTGCTCCTGCTCAGAGGACAATGAGTCTCTGTCGCTCCTGGCCAGGTTGCGGGCATTGTCCAGAGCCTCAGCCTCTCCTGGGGTTCGTAAGCCACCAAACCAGCCCTTGGGAAGGAAAAGAGCTGACTCAGGAGTCCACACCCAGGCTCCCTAAAGGGTCGCAGGGGACACGTAGGTTCTGCTGCCCCGCCCCGCCCAGGTTTCCCTCCGCTCAGGTTGGCAGAGGCTCAGCACATCCAGGACTTTGCTGTTAGCACCAGGACCCTGGTGCTGTGCTAAGGGGGTTCAGCACACCTGCCTGACACCCCCACAGCCCAGAGTGCAGGGCTGTGGTCTGGGTGTCACAAACAGTGGGAAGGACAGGGCCACTTTAGAGAGCCGGGGGGAGCAGCACAGGACAAACTGGGGCCACGCCCACCCAGGGCCCTATTCTGGGCAGGAAGCAGTTCCTCACCACCTGACGCCACAGGTCCCGGAGAAACCCACTCACTCTGCTCCCGCTCTTGGTGGCCGCTCCAGAACCTAGAAGAGAAGGGTGTCTGCCTTAGCGTGGGAGGCCCCCTCCGCAGGGTCTCCCTGCTGGGAAGGGCATGGGCTGGGGCTCAGACACTGACAAGGTGTCTTGGGCCTGGTGACAGGGAAGGGCAATCCAAGTCTGGGACACCCTCAGGAAGGGGAAGAAAGAGGGGAAAGAAGTAAAAGGAAGCACATATCAAATCTCTGTTGGGTTCTGCTCTGACCAAAGCTGTAAACCACGCCCCCTCCCGACCTTCTCCTCCTGACTCTTGTCACCCAGTTGAGGCACTGACCACCCTCTGCCTTGGCTGAGGGCCCTGCAGATGTGAAGAACTGGCCTGCCCTCCCCGACTTGGCAGGAGAGGAGGTGACCATCAGCCCCAAGACAGGGGGACTGATAGGACCCCGGCCCTCCACAGGTGCAAGTGAGGTGGGGGGTAGGGGTGATCCCAGGGAACAAGATCACAGCCAGGCCAGAAAGACCTGGAGATTTGGGAGACGGAGGGGTGGGCCTTTCTGTCTGAAGCAGGAAGTGAGGGAAGCAGCAGAGAGTGCCAGTGCCCGCCCATCGCGCCCGCCAAACTCACATGGAAGGTTACGGCTCCTGTAGCACTGATATAGAAATGTGCCCAGCAGGGCAAGGCCTCCAAGCCCAAAGATGCAGGCAAGCACGATCACCCACCATGGTGTGCCTGAGGAGAGAGAGGGAGCAGTGGAAGCCTCCAGGCTGGTGGTCACTGGCTCTCCAGGAACTGGGGCCTCCCCATGGTCCTGGATACCTGATTTTTGGTCCACACACTCGATGTCGTTGGAGGGGCCACAGTCCCTGACCTTGACCTTGCCATCAGGGCACCTAGGTTCAAACACAGGGAGGATGTGAAGGGGTAAGAGGAAGAGAAAGAGGGAGCAACACCCACCCAGTGTCCCCTGGTGGGAGAGTGGAAAAGGACAGCCTTCTCCTGTCTGCCCGACGGGCCCTCTCACCCCCTTGCCGGGTTCAGGGGGGACCCGATGCCACCTTCAGCCCCAGGGGCTCCAGTTAAGTATTCAGAGCTGTACCCACAGGAGCTGGGCCTTCTCTATAAGGCCTGCACTGAGCTTCCCTGACCTGCAGGGGGAGCACGAGTGAGGAAGTAGCTCACTCCAGCCACAAGCTGAGCCTCATTCTCTAGTCCAGTGGTTCTCAACCTTCCTGATGCCACGACCCTTTAATACAGTTCCTCATGTTGTGGTGACCCCCAATTTCATTGTTACAAATTGAACATAATTAAAGCATAGTGGTTAATCACAAAAACAATATGTAATAATATATGTGTTTTCCGATGGTCTTAGGCGACCCCTGTGAAAGGGTCGTTCGACTCCCAAAGGAGTCGCAACCCACAGGTTGAGAACCGCTGCAGTCAACCCTCAATACAAGGACCCTCTTGTCCTCCACCCGTTGACTGTCCCCACCAAGCACAGCCACACTGTAAAAGACCAAATTACTATTGGCCCCTAAATCCCAATAACAGGGAAAGCACAGTCTTATTGAGGGAGCAGGGCCCTGGGGGAAGGTGGCGGAGCTGGTGCAGGGGTTTGAGGAACCCCTGAAGGAGCTACAGGCTCGGGTCATTATGACTTGACTGTGGACACTTATGTGTTCATGGGCTCATGCCGGCACCAAAACAAAAACAAAACAAAACAAAACAAAAACCCAAAAAACAAAAACCATTTTGTGATTGAATTGCTATAAAGATGACTCCAAGTATGGCTGCATTGTACACAATCCCTTCCTTCTGATATTAAGAAAACCTATAGCTTTGCATGGGCCACTGACAGGCTCATAGGCCCTGATTAGCGGCCACTGTGCCCAGTGGGAAGGTCAGCCTGGCCAAAGGGAGACCGAGCTGAGGAGGGGTGGGAAGGGGGTGCTGCAGCCGGAGCGTGAAGACACGCAGACGGCCACGGCGGGCTCTCGTGTCTTACCTTGGGCTGCACGGTTGGCAGTACTCAGGAGAATCCTTATCCTGGTAAGTGCCCTTCTTGCACTGACACTGGGTGTCACTCGTCCTGGTGCATGGAGCTATTTGTACTTTACCTGAAGATAAAGGATAGGATTCGGGGGATACATTTCCATCATGTGTCCCTCAAACCATTTTTCACCACTCAACCGCCCCCTACCCGCCCGCCCCCAAACACACACACACACACACACACACACACACACACACTCAGCTTCACTCAGTTCGACACAGATTTGAGGGTTAGTTTCTGCAGCAATGTCTGTGAGGTGCAAGAAGGACAGCACTATTCACCTGTCCGCAATAACCGTGTACATTAAAAAGGCCATGATTCTTTATGTATTACATCAGGATTTGGAGGGAAATATCTACTGGTTTGTGGGATGATTAAGAAGGGTCGGGTATAACCTGAGAGACCCTAGGTGGGGAGGAACCCCTGGGTGAGTTCCGCTAACTTAACCCTGCAGAGGGGCCTTAGGCCATGCAGGCTGAGGAAGGCGGAGCGCCTGCCAGGAAGCACAGGGCCAGGAGGGGTCTGGCCAGGACAAGCCCCACATCCTAGCTCCAAACCAGCACTTTTCCACTCGGCCACCCCTTCCATGATGTGGCCACTGAGTCCTCCCTTCAAGGGACAGGTTATTCTCCCACCACTTCCCTCTGATGTTTTAAAAGACGTCCCTCCTGTGTGGCATGCATTATAAAAATAATTTCTGTTTTCATTTTATTTTATTGGCCTAAGTCATATCATGAAAAGGGTATGATGAAGACCACGCTGGGCTGGCAATTAGGTTTCTGATCCCCCATTCGATACAATTATCAACTCATTGCCCGGCACCCTAACTGTAGGCACGAGGTCTACATCTCTACCTGCAGGGCAGTTAGAGCAGGGGTGGCAAGAAGAGAGGCGGTTGGGATGACGGGTGAAACTCTGTTTTTCAGTGCATGGTGTACACTCTCCGCTCTGTTCTGACAGATAGAATCCTGGGAAAAGAGAGAGAATCTGGTGAGTGAATGACCACAGGGCTCCTGGAGGCTGGCAGTGATGGCTAAGGGAGGCCTCTTTCGGCCATCAGTGGAATCCAAACAGGAAAATCCACTCACATCCCTTAGACCCGTGGTCGGCAAACTGCGGCTCTTTGGCCCCTTGAGTGTGGCTCTTCCTAAGCCTTAGGAGGACCCTAATTAAGTTAATAACAATGTACCTACCTATATAGTTTAAGTTTAAAAAATTTGTCTCTCAAAAGAAATTTCAATTGTTGTACTGTTGATATTTGACTCTGTTGACTAATGAGTTTGCCAACCACTTCCTTAGACCCTCACTGCCAACAGAAATGTATTATAAGCCACACAAGAAATTCAAATTCATAGTTGCCATGTTGAAAGGGTAAAAAGAGCCTCGTCGATATGGCTCAGTGTTTGAGCGTTGAGCTATGAACCAAGAGGTCATGGTTGCATTCCTAGTGAGGGTACATGCCTGGGTTGCGGGCTCGATTCCCAGTGTGGGTATTTTAGGTTAAAAAATACATAGTGGAGCCCACCCCCTCGGTGGGAGCATGTGCGCGGCTTGGCACCAATTGGGAACCGCCACAGCCTGTGCCAGCCCCGTGGGGCACCGGGCGGCTTCAGGATGATCAGCCAGAAGACACTGTACTCCTTCTCCTCCCCCAGCGCCGGCGAGGCGGAGGAGAGCGGGGATGCAGCGGTGAGCCCCGCCAAGAAGGCCCCGGCAGGGCAGGAAGAGCCTGGCACACGCATCGCCTCAGCGCCGCTGAGCCCCGAGCAGCTGGTCCGCATCCAGAAGAAGAAGGCCGGGGCCCTGCTTAGACTCGCGGCTCCCAATCTGCCGGTGAGTATTTTAAAGGGTGTCCCAAAATTCACGCAAGAAGTCATTTTGATAGAAAACACAGGGTTATAATTAAAAATTGCAAATTTTTTATCGATTCATAAAGTATACAGTATAGGGTTATGTACGGAATAGCACATCGGGTAAATGGCCTCCACGGCTTTGCTGGCACATACGCAAAGCCGTGGTCTTCATTGGCCTTCATTGTCCCTGCTCCTGGGCCATAATTGGTACTTGGTAATGCTTATCAAATTGAAGGGATTGAAATCAAAGGGCAACAGATATTAGAATCTGATTCAATAAACCAAGTAAAATTAGGCTTTTATTTTTTGTTGTTGTTAATGCTCATGCAAAATTCAAATCTTGCGTGAATTCTGGGACACCCTTTATAAAGCTAATGGGATTTGTCGCAGAAGAAGGAAGACATTACACTGTGTATCCACCCCCACACCAAGTCTTCACGTGGACCCAAATGTGCAACACAAGAGACGTGGAGGTTGTCATCCTGGGACAGGATCCATACCATGGACCCAAGCAAGCTCATGGGCTGTTCCACTTCTGCCCAGTGTGGAAGACATGTACAAAGAGCTGTCTACAGACACATGGTTTTGTGCATCCTGGCCTTGGAGATGTATCTGGGTGGGCCAAGCAAGGTGTTCTACTCAACGCTGTCCTCGAGGTCGGGTGCATCAGGCCAATTCTCATAAGGAGAAGGGCTGGGAGCAATGCACCGACGCGGTTGTGTCCTGGCCAAATCAGAACTCGAGTGGCCTCGCCTTCTTGCTCTGGGGCTCCTATGCTCAAGGAAGGTCCACGCCATCGATAGGAAGCGCCACCGCGCGCTGCAGACCGCCCCTCCCTCCCCTTTGTCTGTGCACAGAGGGTTCTTTGGGTGCAGACATTGCTAGAAACTGACGAACTGCTGCAAAAGTCTGGCAAGGAGCCCATCAACTGAAAGGATCTGTGGCCCTGAACTGGGTGGGAGGGGGTCCTCTGGGCCGTTTCTAGAAGCTGCCATTGAAGTATTTGTCAGTGACAAAGTCGAATTGAGAAAATAATTGTCCGGGTGATGGTTAAGCACGGGGCACACCAGGGAGAGAGTTTCAGTCAAGTGGCCACGCGCCAGGCCGCCCAGGAGTGGCAGCGTTATCCGGCAGAGACTGTATTCTGCGAGAACGTGTCTGTCTTTGCGACTTGGCTCTCGCCTAGAATACGCGTCAAAGTTTTTGGAAAGGAGAGGAAATCAAATTCTCTGGACTCTGCTCCCCTCTGTTTCTTTTCTGGTTAAAGATGGTGAGACACACACCTTTTTAGTATCTGAGTCAGCTGCTCGCTTTTACCTGTAGGTTAAATGTTAGGTTATAAGGTGTTGGGTGTTTTTATATAGAAAAGCCCCCTTTGCACATGAGCCAGGTCCATGCCCTTTGGTCCTTTACAGAGCCCTCAGGCCCCTCCTGGAAGGAAATGGGATTTTTTTTTTTTTTTTTTTTTTTTGCCAGTTCCCAGAAATTAGGGGTCAGTTTCCTGTTTATAGCAGAGGAGAAAATTCCTAAGGAACAGCCCTTGCTGTGAGCCAGGTGAGGTGGGCGGGGTCTTGTTTATATTGTTTTCTGGGTGTTTCTAGGAATAAGCAGTGGAAGTTGAACCGGAGGAGAAAGGGTTCTGTTGTGTTTTATTTTTTTAAGAAGGGAAATGGTTTTCTCCCATGTGTATCCTGAAATGGGAGAAAAGGCAGCATAGTGCCAACTGCTGTTTTTTCTTGACTGAAATCACTTTGGGATACCATTTTCTGCAACACTGGAGAATTTCGCTCTTTTAAAAAATATGTAAATGCCTGGCCAACGTGGCTCAGTGGTTGATGGTCAACCTATAAACCAGGAGGTCACAGATCAATTTCTATGTGGATGTTTTGTATTTTTAAAATATTTTTATTGATTTCAGAGAGGAAGAGAGAGATAGAAATATCAATAATGAGAGAGAATCATTGATTGGCTGCCTCCTGCACGCCCCCTACTGGGGATCAAGCCCACAACCTGGACATGTGCCCTTGACTGGAATCAAACCCAGGACCCTTCAGTCATCATTGATGTTTCTCTCTCCCTCTCCCTTCTTCTCTGAAATCAATAAAAAATATATTTTTTCAAAAAGGAGTAAAAAGAAAGGGGGCCCCGAATAGCCAAAGCAATCCTGAGGAGAAAAAAAAATAAGGCTGGAGATATTTTGCTACCTGACTCAAATTATACTGCAGAGCTATGATAATCAAAACAGCATGATATTGGCAGAGAAACAGACACACAGATCAATGGAACAGAATAGAGAGCCCAGCCATAAAACCATATGAATATGGACAGATAATTTTTGCAAAGGAGCCAGAAATACACAATGGAGTAAAGATAGTCTCTTCAGTAAATGGTGCTGGGAAAACTGGAAAACCACATGCAAAAGAATGAAACTGGATTACAGTTTCTCCCCCTGTGCAACAATTAATTCAAAATGTATCAAAGACCTAAATATAAGACCTGAAACAATAAGTGACATAGAAGAAAATATAAGTACCAAACTTAGGGACTTTGGTCATAGAGAAAACTTTATGAACTTGACCTCGAAGGCAAAGGAAGTAAAGGCAAAAATAAATGAATGGAACTGTATCAAACTAAACAGTTCTGCACAGCAAAAGAAACTGGCAGCAAAACAAAGAGGCAACCATCCAGATGGGAGACGATATTTGCAAACAATAGCTCCGACATAGGTTTAATTTCCAAAATATATAAAGAACTCATAAAATGCAACACCAAACAAACAACCCAATCAAAAAGTGGGCAGAAGACCTGAAAATACACCTCCCCCAGAATACATACAAATAGCTAATAGATATATGAAAAGATGTTCAACCTCACTGGCAATTAGGGAAATACGATCAAAACTGCAATGAGATACCCCCTCACACCTGTTAAGAGTGTCCATTAGCGCCCTAACTGGTTTGGCTCAGTGGATAGAGCGTTGGCCTGCGGACTCAGGGGTTCCAGGTTCGATTCCGGTCAAGGGTATGTACCTTGGTTGTGGGCAGATACCCAGTGGGGAGTGTGCAGGAGGCAGCTGATCGATGTTTCTCTCATCGATGTTTATAACTCTCTATCCCTCCTCCCTTCCTCTCTGTAAAGAATCAATAAAATATATTTTTTTTAAAAAAAAGAAGAGTGTCCATTAGCAACAAGACAAGCAATAACAAGTGCTGGAGAGGATGTGATGTAAAGGAAACCCTCATTCACTGCTAGTGGGAATGCAGTCTGGTACAACCATTATGGAAAGCCATCTGGCAAGTCCTCAAAAAATTAAAAATAGAGCTACCATATGACCCAGCAACGCCTCTTCTGGGTATATACCCCGAAACTCGAAAACATGTATTCGCAAAGGTATATGCACCCGTATGTTCATTGTAGCATTATTCACAAAGGCCAAGACATAGAAAGAACCAGTGTCCCAAGACAGTGGACTGGTAAAGAAGATGTGGTACATCTGAACAATGGATGTAAGAAAGAATGAAATACTGCCATTTGCAACAACATGGATGGACCTTGAGAATATTTGGCTAAGTGAAATAAGTCAGTCAGAAAAAGCTAAAAACCACATGATTTCACTCATATGTGGAATATAAAATTGAAACTCCTGAACACAAACAGCAGTGCAGAAGTTTCCAGAGGGAAAGGGGGTTAGGGGTGAAAGGGGTCCTAATATAAGGTGACAGGAGATGATTTGACTTTGGGTGATGGGCCCATAGTGCAATATATGGATCTTGTAACATAGAAACCCACACCTGAAATCTGTATGATCGTATTAACCAATGTCACCTCGATAAATTTAATAAAAAAGGAAAAAAAAGAGAAAGAGGGCCAATTCATTTAACTATGTATTTTTTGACCTAACATTCAACATAGTATCAATTCAACATTTAATCAATACAACATATTGGGATAGTTTACTTTCTTGAATACCTCACTCAAAAAGTGAAATCTATGCTCCCTCCAGAGTGTCCAGGGTTTGTGGTCTGCTCTCGCCTGCCCTTGTGACTTCTTTACCCCAAACTCACCCTACACTCACCCCAGCTGCCCCCCAGCTTTGCTCAAACAAGCTCTCCCCCTGCCCCTGGGACCATAGCTCCTGGGGGGCCCTCTCCGGACCACTGTGCGTGGCGCTCTGCACTAAAGACAGTTGCTCTCTGCGTCAAGGTCACATCCTCAGACACCTCACCAACCCAGTCTCTGTCCCACCCATCACTCAATTATCCTCATGGTTCCTATCTCGTCTCTCTGTCACCTTCAACTGTCTGTCTGAGTCCATCTCAGAAGAACAGCTCCAGGAGGGCAGGGGCCTCCTGCCCTCCATCAGTACAGTGCCAGGCACTCAGGAGCCGTTTAATAAATAAATACCCGTAGATAAAGAACCAGGAACTTCGGAAATCAGAGGGCTGGGAACACCTGGAGACAAGGCGGGTAAGGGCTTGAGATCAGTGTTAGAATGTACCTGGCGGACACTCCTCTGGGAGGCTGGCATGCAATCCTTGTGGGGCAGCTGGTTGCTGGTGAATTCTGTCCGGCTCTGTGATTGGGCATGAGGCAACTGGGATCTGTGGGGACAAAGCAGGGATAGGTATCAGTGGCTTCCTGACTCTCCTCCCGCCCCAGACCCCTCTCACATTCTCGTCACCCCAACTACCTAAAGCAAAAAGAACTGGGACCTTTCTTCCAGCTCTATCCTCATTTCATGTTTGTCCCTTAGCCTTTGGGACTAGCAAGTAACTCACGCCTGAAAGAGTTTCCAGTATTCTTCTAACTTATACTAAAACAAAATATATTTATTCCACATGTACAAAGTTAATCATAAATGGTAAGCACCATTGCAACTACATTAGTAAATCCTCAAAACACTTCAATGATAAAAATGGTTAGAATGGATGAAGAACAAGACCCAAATACATACTGTCTATTAGAGATGCCATTTAAGAAAGCAGGACACAGATATATTGAATGCAAAGGGATGGAAAAAAGATATATAACATACAAATAGTAAGCCTAAGAAAACTGCTGTGCTGTCTTAATATCAGATGAAGTTGGTTTAAGACAAATAGCATTACCACAGGTAAAGAAGGACCTTTTGTTGTGTGAAAGGGTTAATTCCTCAGAGAGTCATAATAATTATAAATGTATATGTGCCCAACAAAAAAGCTTCAAAACACATGAAGCAAAAATGGAAAGAGTTAAAATGAATGTATAACACCCTTTTCTCAGCAGCTAATGGAATGATCTGATGAAAACAGTAAAGTCAAGAGAGATTTGAACACTGTCAATCACCTTGACTTAATTGACATTCACATAACAGATGTGCAGCATCTACAGAAGACACATCCTTTTCTGGTGAACATGGTACTTTTTGACTTCAAATAAACTTAAAAGAAGTGAAATTATCTACACTAATAAAAGAGAAACATGGTAATTGGCATACGACCGCTACCCTTCCCATTGGCTAATCAGGGAGATATGCAAATTAACTGTCAGCCAAGATGGCGGCCGGCAACCAGGCAGCTTGAAACTAACATGAGGCTTGCTTACTTCAGTGACGGAGGACTCCAACGTTCCCCGCCTGCGGCTGCAGGCCTCTGAGCCTGCAGTTTCAAACATTATAACAAATATAGAAGCTAAACAAAACTCCAGAAACCAGCTTTCAGCCGGCTGGGATCTCAGAGCTGGAGTTGATACAGAGTTTCGAGAACCGAAACAAAGCAGATACCTGCTTTCAGGAGCGGAGGCCTAAGAGCTGGAGCCTCAGAGCTAAAGCTGGCCCAGAATAAAAAAAAAAGAAAGGACCAGTTGGGAGCTTCAGTCCCAGCCTGAAAACAGCCCTCAGCCCCTCATCCAGACTGGCCAGGCACCCCAGTGGGGACCCCCACCCTGATCCAGGACACCCTTCAGGGCAAACCAGCCAGCCCCACCCATGCACCAGGCCTCTATTCTATATAGTAAAAGGGTAATATGCCTCCCAGCACTGGGATCAGTGGAGCCACGAGGCCTCCCAGCACCGGGATCAGTGTGACAGGGGGCAGCGCCCAAACCCCCTGATCGCCCTGCGGCTCTGTGTGTGACAGGGGGCAGGGCCACAACCTCCCTATCCACCCTGCTCTGTTCGTGACAGGGTGTGGCGCCCCAACCCCCTGATCGGCCCTGCTCTGTGGGTGACAGGGGGCGGTGTGCCAACTCCCCTATCGGCCCTACTCTGTGAGTGACAGGGGGGAGCTCCTCAACCCCCTGATGGGCCCTGCTCTGTGCGTGACGGGGTGGCGCCACAACCTCCCCATCGACTCTGCCTTGAGTGTGACAGGGGGCGGTGCCCCAACCCCCCAATCGGCCCTACCCTGAGCATGACTGAGGGTGGCATCGCAACCTCCCGATCCGCCCTGCTCTGTGCATGACAGGGGGCGGCGCCCCAACTCCCCAATTGGCCCTGCTCTGAGCCCAACCAGGGGCTGCACCTAGGGATTGGGCCTGCCCTCTGCCACCCGGGAGCAGGCCTAAGCCAGCAGGTCGTTATCTCCCAAGGGGTCCCAGACTGCGAGAGGGCACAGGCTGGGCTGAGGGAACCCCCCACCCCCGAGTGCACAAATTTTTGTGCACCAGGCCTCTAGTCTATATATATAAAAGCCTAATATGAAAATTGTGCTCTGGGGAGTTTAATTGATTACTATGACGTGCGCTGACCACTAGGGGGTGGCACAGAACGAAGGAAGGCCCCAGCCGGCAGCCAGAAGGAAGGTCCCAAATGGCCCTGATCGCCAACCAGTCCTAGGGACCCTACCTGTGCACAAATTTTGTGCACCAGGCCTCTAGTATCATGTATATTCTCTGATCTTGATAATAATACATTGGAAATCAATAACAACAGCTACAAAGGCCTCCAATGTAATTAAAACCACAATGAGAACAACAACAAAAAATCACAGACATTCCAGAAAACTGGGATCTTAAGCCAGTCAAAGGCATGACATTTCAATTTTTCATTTTTATTTTTTATTATTATTTTGTTAGCTTTTTTTTTTTGCTTTTTTCTTTGTTTTCCTTTTTTTGTTTGTTTGTTCCTTTATTATCTACTTCTTTTCACATTATTTTTTCAACCACGTGAGCTGCTGCCAACTGAGGAGCATCTGCTACCACAACTGCCCGAGGACCAACCACAGACACATGAGCGGCACACTCTTGTCCAGCGAGCATCAGCCCCGTGAGCAGCCTGCCTCAAGCCTAAGAGCAGCAGCCTCATGTGGCCTGCCCCTGTCCAAGGAGCAGCAGCTGTGTGAGCGGCCCACTTCCCTGTCCGAGGAGCAGCAACCACACGAGCAGTCCGACCTGTCTGAGGAGCAGGAGCTGCACGAGCAGTCTTCCTACATCTGAGGAGCGGCAGCACTGCACAGCCCGCCCCCATCCGAGGAGCAGCAGCTGTGCACAGCCCGCACCCTGCACTAGTCTGAGGAGCAGCAGCTGCACAAGCATCTTGGCCTTGCCCAAGCAGCAGCAGCCACACGAGCAGCCTGCCCAATCCGAGGAACAGTAGCTGTGTGTGCAGCCTGCCCCCATCCGAGGAGCAGCAGTTCTGTGAACGGCCCGGCCCCATTCGAGGCGCAGCAGGAGCCCACCCCAGTCTGAGGAACAGCAGCCACACGAGCAGACCACCTACATTCAAGGAGCGGCAGCCCTATGCAGCACGCACCGGTCCAAGGAGCAGAGCCACAACAGCCTGCACCTGTCCGAGGAGCAGCAGCCAGGTGAGTGGCACGTCCCCGTCTGAGGAGGAGCAGCCACGTGTGCAGCTCACCCCCGTCCAAAGGGCAGTAGCCCCACAAGCAGCCCACCACTGCAGAGGAACAACAGCAGCGTGCAGCCAGCCGCCATTCAAGGATCAGCAGCCACATGAGCAGTCCACCCCAGTTCAAGGAGTAGCAGCTGCGTGTGTAGCCCACCCCTTCCAAGGAACAGCAGCCTCGTGATCAGCACACCCTCTGGCTGAGGAACAGCAGCTGTGTTTTAAGCCTCCCCCCACCAGCCAGAGGAGCCACCACAGCTGTAAACAGCACCCACCAGAGAAGCTGCTGCCAACTGAGGAGCAGCTGCTACCACAACTGCCCGAGGAGCAACCACAGCCCAAGGAGCCACTGCCACCCAAGGAGCACCCCCTGAAAGACTCAACATCTAGATATGTTGGTGAGATCAAACATGGGTAGACAAAGAAACCCCCAAAGGAAAGAGAAGGAGGACTTGCCAGAAAAGCAGCTAAGTGAAACAGAGGCATGCCGTATGACAGAAAAAGAATTCAGATTAAGGGTCCTAGAATGCATAAACCGGATGGAGGAAAAAATCAACAACTTATGCAAGAATCAAGAAGAAACAGATGAAAAAATCAATAACTTATGTAAGAATAAAAAAGAAACAGATGAAAAAATCAATAACTTATGTAAGAAACAAGAAGAAATGAAGAGTGATATAGCTGCAATAAAAAACACCAATGAAAGTTTCAACAGTAGACTAGGAGAAGCGGAAGACCGAATTAGTGAATTAGAAGACAGGGAAGCAAAACTAACCCAAACTGAACTGGAGAAAAAAATTAAAAGACAGGCGGCTAGCCTAAGGGAGCTATGGGACAACATGAAATGAAACAACATACGAATAATAGGGGTGCCAGAACAACAGAAAGAGGAACAAGGGTTAGAAAACCTATTTGAAGAAATAATATCAGAAAACTTCCCTGAGGTGGGGAAGAAAAAAGTCACACAAGCACAGAGAGTTCCAAACAAGGTGAACCCGAAAAGACCCACACCAAGACACATCATAATTACCATGGCAAATGCTCAGGACAAAGAGAGAATCTGAAAGGCTGCAAGAGAGAGACAGAAAGTTACATACAAGGGATCTCCCATTCGATTATCAAATGATTTCTCAACAGAAACACATCAGGCCAGAAAAGAATGGACAGAAATTTATAAAGTGATGCAAAGCAAAGGACTGAATCCAAGAATACTCTATCCAGCAAGGCTATCATTCAAAATTGAAGGAGAAATAAGAAGCTTCACAGACAAAAAAAAGGCTAAGGGAGTTTATCACCACCAAGCCAGCAATGCAAGAAATGCTAAAGGGACTGGTGTAAAAAGAGAAATAAAAAGCTCAGAAAGAAAACGGCCACAAAAAAACAGAAATGGCTACAAACAAGTACCTTTCAATAATAACTTTAAACGTAAATGGACTAAATGCTCCAATCAAAAGACATCGAGCCGAAACCGGTTTGGCTCAGTGGATAGAGCGTCGGCCTGTGGACTGAAGGGTCCTAGGTTCGATTCCAATCAAGGGCATGTACCTGGGTTGCAGGCACATACCCAGTGGGAGATGTGCAGGAGGTGGCTGATCGATGTTTCTCTCTCATCGATGTTTCTAGCTCTCTATCTCTCTCCCTTCCTCTCTGTAAAAAATCAATAAAATATATTTAAAAAAAAAAAGACATCAAGTGGCTGAATGGATAAAAAAACATGACCCATATCTTTGCTGTCTACAAGAGACCCACCTCAGAATAAGGGACTCACACAGACTGAAA